ACATTAGATTGATCTCTTATGAGGTTTCGTGATGGCAGCCCAAACGACAAGAGCAGATATAAATACAAATATAAATATAAATAGACAGAAAGACAGATAAATATATAGATAGATAACAGATAGATAGATAGATATAGATAGATAGATAGGTTTGTAGGTAAGTAGGTAGATCGATCGATAGATAATTAGATAGATAGACAGACAGACAGACAGATACATATATATAGAAAGAAAGAAATAAAGAAAAATAGATAGATGGATGTATAGATAGATAGATAGCAGATAGATATATAGATGGATGTATAGATAGATGGATAGCAGATAGATAGATGTATGTATAGATAGATAGATAGATAGACAGTTTGGTATGTAGATTGTGGGATGTAAAGCTGAATAAATCCTAAAGCAAAACCCAGCAGTGTGTATTCGATGTGTGTGTGTGCGTGTGGAATTCTTTGCGAAAGCCTCGACTAAAAATCTGTTCACTAGCCTTGGTATAATGTTCACACATTCTGACGCTTCAACCCCGCCTTGGGTTTGAGTCCGCGCTGCAAGGCAGACTGTGGGAAGTGGATAGGATTATGTAAAGACAGGCTCAATAATAACGCCTCTGTATAGACATTTCCAACAAGACGTGAGAGTGTGTGTGTGCGTATGCCTGGTCGAATGAGACTCGTGTATGTTTGTCTTTATGCAGGGATTCCGACCTGCCTGGGCAATCTAACAAAGCCGAGGATAATAGAGAGAGTTAGAAGAAACACGAGGATAGAGTCTTGTCAAGTTGTTCCTCCATGGCCAGAGTGTTTCGAGGGTACAAGACTTGTGCTCATCATATGATGCAACGGGGTGTGAAACTCTAATTGCGTCAGAATTAATAATGCAGAATTGAGTATCGAAATGACGGGAAGACATAATAAAGACAATCTTGCCAGTCTGAGTCTCGATCGACCGGCGAAATGGAGATACAGAAAGCCCTTCCTGACGGAGTCTGAATGTCCAGTATTTTAGGTATGGCTCTGGGGCACTGTACTCCCTCGGTTGGGCATAATTCTGACGGTGGCAGTGGTCGATGGTGAAAGAGTGCGAGTGAAGAATGGGAACTGGCAGCGGATAAAAGAGGTCGAGTCTGGGCATAGCCTGGCGTCACCGCGCCCCTTCTGCTGGAGCCATTGGAGAACGGCACAAAATTGGCCCAATCCAATCGGCCAGCCAGAGGCGTCTTAGGCAGGACGAGCGGTATCGTCAGTGTAAGATGAAACAGAGTCGTGCGGCTCTCTTTCTCTCTCCTCTCGCAGTCGGCTTGTTGCCACCACGAGCCTTTTTCCACCTGCTCCAACCTCAGACGGACTCACTTTGGCCCCAGATCCGAGGCCTTTGGACAAGTGGGTGACTTGTGGCCGGGTTGGCCGGTCAAGTGGGGGCAGGGGAGCCCAGTCGCCTGGACACCAGAGTCGGACTTGGAGCACAAAAATTAGTTGAGGGGCGAGTGAGGCGAGCTGCCCAACAAGGCCCAGGTCGGTGGTGACCGAAAGTGGACCAAAGCGTTGGATGCTCTCCTGCCGGACTCGGACAGATTTGTCGTCTCTTCATACGACAGTCAGCGATTGCCCTCGAATGCTCGTCTGCCAGACTTTGACATGGCCACTACACCCTTACAACTTACACACACATACACATATACACACACCCGTAGTCATTACTTGGTTGACAGGGCAGAAGAAGCGGAATGAATGATTTACCATGGGCACTAGAGCCAGGTTTTTCGACCGTGTTGGCGGATGTGATGATGTGTTGATGATGTGGTAGAAGCCATCGTGGAACTGGTGCCATTGTCCGCGCCTACACACGTACAGGGTGAAGACGAACTGAGCTGGGATATGAGACACTGGTAGGGAGGAGACGATGGCCCGACTACTCTGGCTGTATGCGACTCATTTGAAGGCGTCGGATTTGTGGTGGAGCCGAGCAGAAGTTAGCTTCTACGTTCACTCGGCAGCAGGTCAACGGTAGCTCAATAAATGGCAAACAAATTTGAGACTTATAGAAATGCGTTGACCTAGTTGGCGAAATGTGGTCTTGTTGTCAGCGCGACTTGGTAGAAGGCACCATCTTGGTCTTCATATCTTTAAAATCGATACTAAAGCCTGTCTATCATTCACATGCTAACACAATTTAGATATGAAGGTTAAGTGGGTTTCGATGAATCCCATTGGATAACATTGTTGGGGGACTTTCATTTTGTGTGAGAATGCATGAAGAAGAGATTCACAGGTCGATCTCACTGGAAGAGGACGCAATCCACGAGACCTCCTCGCTCGTTTCGGGTGAAAACTGGCTGAGCTTTGGTCCATCAAATGATGGACATCATCAGAGTTGGAACTCATTCTTGTAAAAGTCTCAAGTTAACGCTAGGACAA